TCGGAACTTATTCACTGACCCAGTTGCAGGTTCGTCACCGATAGCCATTGTCTCAATTTGGGGACCACTTACGTACCGATTTCTCGTCCAAGTATCTTCATGGAAGCTTTTTATAAACGTATCTTGTGTTGTAACTAAAATGGCTTGTTCCAGGCCAGTTGGGGGAGGGGGTGAGGGGGAGGGCATAACTGGTATGGAAGAAAATCGACAGCATTGCTCAGTCCAGTTGATATGTGTTTAAGATCGTGCGTTGGGGCCGAAGCCAGGACTTTCATGGTCAGCTCCAAATCAAGGCTTCGTTTGGGAACCCCTGTAATGAAACTAAATCATGTATTTCTGGGAAAGGACGTCACAGTTTTAATTGTTAGAACCACTATTGGTGAAGCTTCACTTTATGTAACCACATAGGGTAGATATCACTAGCCATGTATCCAACAGGTGGGTTATGACCTAAGCATCCAGGTGACTGAGACCGGTAAAATTATCATTGCTAAGGTAAATATTCTATCCATTATATGGATAAGCTGCTTCTTCAGCCTCGAAGCAGAAGGTTTCCTTAAGCCTAGAACCGTTTGAGAAATGTCACCGAGGCGATTGACCACGAGGTAAGAAACACACCTGAGGGCACGTAAATTCGTGTGAGCAGTATTGAACATTTAGTACAGTGTTTCTCAACCTTCGTGATGCCTCGACCCTTTAAATACCGTTCCTCATGTCGTGGTGGTCCCCCAACCATACAATTATTTTCGTTGCTACTTCATGAATATATGTTTTCCGGTGGTCTTAGCCGACGCCTGGGGGTCCCGACCGACATGTTTTAGAACTGCTGAGTTATTATAAAAGGCTGATTAATTCGATCTCGTGAAGCCCAGTGCCGTTATCACAGACGTGGCACATACAACATGAAGTTATAAAACTATTTTTTTTTTTTTTTAATTATTAAGCCATCAAAATTCATGGACCTGTGAAATATGTCCGGGAGCTTTCATGGGGTCCAAGGACCATTGAATTAAGGAGCCAGGGAATGTTACGCTATTCACGCAGGTTAGGGTAGTGTGACTGACACAACGTGTCATTTCATTATGTATGCACAGCGCTGTTAATGGGCCCATTCAATTCTTCATTATGCGTCCATGGACAGGGTGCTTATGTTTATAAGGATAGTACCAGGATAGTATCAGTGGTTCCCAAATGTACAAAAAACATTCACCATTACGTGTATGATGTGACCATTTTATGAATACATGTATTATGGGAACATTTTATGATTACATGTATGGATGGAAAATTCATTTTTCTGTTTCACTGCCTTCTTCTGTTTCTCCAGACTTCATCTGTTTCACCAGACTTCATCTGTTTCACCAGACTTCATCTGTTTCACCTAACTTCATCTCTTTCACCTAACTTCATCTGTTTCACCAGACTTCATCTGTTTCACCCAACTTCATCTGTTTCACCTGACTTCATCTGTTTCACCCGACTTCGTCTGTTTCACCAGACTTCATCTGTTTCACCAGACTTCATCTGTTTCGTATGACTTCATCTGTTGCGCATGCCTTTATCTGTTTCACTTAACTTCAATGTTTCACCAGCCATCATCTGTTTCATTACAGCAATCGCATTTTCTCAACATTCCCCGTTTATCGATTATTTTACAAAAACACACACAAACATTTATTTATTACCTACTAGAATAAATTACCCGTTGTTACCGGGTTAATAATGGAAGTCATGTTGCGCCAATTTTCACCTGCCGTTTGAAGCCTCAACATCTAAAAATCCAAGTTTTATGAATGTAACGGAATCTTGATGTAATGTTACTTAAAACAAAAGATACGATACAGTTGTATTGTATATTTAGGAAAAATGTATTTAGGCATTCAAAAAAATTGTTTAAAGAATCTATGTATAAATATTTACGTTTCTCACATGATTGGGTTTTGCGAATTGTTTTCTTCAATATAATATACGCCAACCGAACCAATTTTCAGCACTCTGATCTACAAAGTAAACAAATTTCCTAAAACTGTTTTAAAGAAAACAAGCCCCTAACTTTAAAAAAACGTATACGTACCATTTTAAATAATTGTAGCTGTAACAGATATTGATATCTTTTGCCCAACCTCTGCCTCGTTTATGAACTATATTATCGTAAATTAAAGCAGAATTCTTATAGTGCAAGACGAATCTCTCATCCAGTTTTCAAAGTCTAACAGCCTTGTGTATTTTAAAGAACAACATATCAGCGCATTATTTTTCCTATGCCACTGAATTGTAATTCCAAAATGGACAATCAAATGGCTCGTTATATTTAACGGAATTCTTTACCCTTACTTGTTCGCTCCCTCTCAACTGTATTTTAGGTAATTAATTATTTTTTTTTTTAAATAATAATTTCTTTTAACGATTAAATTTCCACGTCTGTAAAATATTTGAGTTTGTGGAAATTTTTTTTTTCCTAGATAAGAGAAAGAAAATTCCCCACTCTCGTTCTTATCCAATACTTTCTCACTTCTTTCCAACTTCATCGACATTCTAGGTAAGTTTAACTCATGTAGATGTCTTCACGAAGTGTCAACACCATTACATTGTATTTTTCCGACAAAACTGTAACATGTATTTATTTATATATTTATTTGGACTGAAAAGCGAACACCTTTTTATTTTCCACGACTGTCATATCGTTGGATTTAAAGATGGCATCATCCAAAAAGAATTTACACAACATATTTCACCCCCCTCTGATATGTTTATACAGAAGCTCGTTAATGCTTTATCGAATTCATTCATTTTTGGGCGTAGCTCGTGCTGACATGCGCGAAATGAAGTATCGAATCATCCCCTCCTCCCCCCAACCCCACCACCCCCCCCCCCAGTTTTAATTAACATTAATCAAATCACCCATGGCATTTAAGCCCCTTCACTTAGGCAACCTCTTTTTTTTTTTTTTTTACGCTACTAAACTTCATTAAAAAAATTAATGAAGTTTACGCACCATTTTACAACGCATTGTTTTATATTTTTATATATATAGTTGTTTTTATTAAGCTATGCGCAAAATTCCGTAATTGGAGAAATTTTGGTTATTTATTTTAACACTTCAAACTATACCAATGTTCGAGTCTATCCCTTCAATTGGTCTTCTGATACAGATACTGATATCCCAATGAACGAAAATTGCAACTTCATAATGGTTTGCTCTTATTTGTGTGAGTGATGAGTGAATTAGTGGCTGCTGTTTGGCTGTGGAGTTTCGCTGCACTAATTGACTTAAATGGCATTTTATTATTGGAAATAGTTTGAACCGTAACGTTTTTATTACGTTATAAATTTGATCAAAGTACATTTTGGAATGAAAAAAAAAAATAAGTAAAGCTCATTAAATGTTAAAAAATGCATGGCTAAAATTTGGTTTGGCGTATTCAAAATTTGAAAAGAAATCAATGGTATATTTATTTTTATTTTTTTTTTAATTGGGGGGAGGGGTGTGGGGTGTTGGAAAAGTGGGGTGGGGGGGGGGGGCTATTATCATTTTTTTTTCCGCACGCTTTAATTAAATCAAGGAAAGAAAAAGCTTCCAATTTGCGAGTTTAAATTAAGTCCTTTTATGATCAATCTAAACTGTATTTCGTTGAGCTCAATCGGAAATTTTTAATTTCATATGAAGACATGTGGATAACCTAAATTTAAATTTAATTTCGCAATTTTTTAACAGAGCGTTAAAGAACAAAGGTTTGGGTTTTCCCGATAAATGCAAGGGTTTTTTTTTTTTTCGTGGAAGGGCTTAAAATCTTGACCCTATCCGGGCGTCATTAATCCTAGCTAAGCTTCTGCTGGGTGATGTTAAAAGTTAGTTTAAAGCAGTGGTTCTCAACATTCCTTAATGCCACGACCTTTTATTACAGTTCCTCGTGTTGTGGTGACTCCCAAACCTAAAATTATTTTTGTTGCTGCTTCATAACTATGTGTGTTCCGATGGTCTTAGGTGACCCCTGTGCAAGGGTCGTTCGACACCCCCCCAAAGGGGTCTCGACCCACAGGTTGAGAGCCGTTTGTGTAAAGCGTCATGCTGTACTGCCAGGACGGATTGAAAGACTGGGGTGACAGGCTTGTAGGACTGTGAGAAGTTAAAAAAAAAAAAAAAAATGTTTACATCATTTGCTGTGTTCCAACATTATTATTATATTTGGCATTTAAGAAGAAAGAATCTGTAGATTCGGTTTTAATACGCAATAGGCCACGTAGTATTTCAATTCATAAAAGTCGCATAGCTTCCAGCTCTAAATACAAATTTCTTCCTAACAACTGTTCTTTGTTATGTATCTATTTTTTTTTCCTCCCATTTTCTTTTTCTTTCTTGGTTAAAAAACGAAAAAAAAAAAAGGAGGGGGGGGGGGACGAAAATGTTTGTTTACCTTTCTTCCGGGCCCTAAGAGTGTGTGCACCATGTAAGCACTGCCTAAAGGTCACGCGTGTGTATCGACCCACGCCGGGCGTGTTACACGCGGTGCGTCGAATTGAATAACTGTCGAAGCATGTGCCTTGTGTATAAAAAAAAAAGGGGGGGGGGGACTGTGAACCAACGCCGGGCGTGTTACACGCGGTGCGTCGAATTGAATAACTGTCGAAGCATGTGCCTTGTGTATAAAAAAAAAAGGGGGGGGGGACTGTGTACCGGCTCTTCAAACATGACACTGCAGTTTTACGACACGCCTGGTGTGTCGGACTATTAGCCGGCTTCGTTGTGTTTAAGGATATGAGCAGTTTACATACCATGCCGTGGTTGTTGCTGTGTGTAGTTGCCGTGGTTGTTGCTGTGTGTAGACAAAGGTAAAGACTTGCTTGAAGTACAGTTATTTAAAAGTAATAAATGTATGAAATAAATCACCCGGTGGTATTTTCGTGATTTATATAGGATGTGCTGTGTACAGTTGTTGTATAGGCACGACGGTGACTAAACGTTTTATCAACTAACTAAATAGACCCCCCAATCTACTCATAGAAACTCACAGGGATCAACTTTTGAGGATTGCGTCATCCCCTTAGCCTGAACAGTTGACTACTGTTGGGACAACACCATCAAGGAAGGCTTTCACAACCTGGGGTAGGAGGAGCAGGTATATTTAAGAACAAAATAGACAATTTTAGCGTTACATTATGATATATATAAATATATAACTGTTGGGACAACACCATCAAGGAAGGCTTTCACAACAGGGGGTAGGAGGAGCAGATATATTTAAGAACAAAATAGACAATTTTAGCGTTACATTATGATATATATAAATATATATATATATATATATATATATATATATATATATATATATGGGCTTCTTAATCTGTTTTAAATCTTTATTTACATTTCACTTGATAGATGCCATAATTCACTTGTCTATTATATTAGTAAGTTCTACAGTTCTCTTTGCAATTCAAAATATAGCTATCTGTTGTTTTTTTTAAAGGAACTACATGTCCATTTTGGTCAAATTTTAAAATGAAAATTTTACTTTTTTAGGGATACAAGTCTTGGTTTTGTTATAAACTTGAAGCGCCCATCCAGTTAAGCCCACTGAAGCTATATTATTTTTAAATCAGACAGTTGCTGCCCTATACCTAAATTATTTGTGTGTGTACAATTGAGTGACATGAGATCAAAAGCTGAGCTTAAAACGCATTGAAAAACTGTAATGTTGGCCTACTTCAATATTATGGCCTACTTTTACTATTGTTGTCCTACTTTAACTATGTATGACCTACTTTAACTATTGTCGCCAGGCGTCAACTGTTTTGGGCATAAATGAACTATTGTCGGCCTACTTTAACTGAATTTTACCTACTTTAACAATGGTTGACCCACTTTAACTATCCTTTTATCAGATTAAAATTACATCCTTACCTATTTCAAAAAAATGCCAACTATCTTTGTTAAAATCGATTAACTTATTTCTAACCTTTATAGACCTGCCCAAAAGCTGATTTCTAAAACGTATCACGGACACCCAATGACGCATTGCCTGTCATTTATTCCCAGTCACTTATTCCCTGTCACTTATTCCCTCTCACTTATTCCCTACTACCCATTATCCATCAGCCATTCCCTCTCAACCCTGCCACCTCGAAGTCACGCCACTGTCTCTTAACATCTGTCGGACTACTTAATTTTAAAATGAGCCAACAAGCATTTATCAATACTAATTAAATAAAGACAACATTGACTGCAAGGAATTCGGTGAGTGGGTGAGGTGTGGGGGTTCAGCTGTGTGATGACAGACGGTTGGTGTGGGGGGTGACAGTGTGGTGACAGAGTATTAATCAATTAGCTACTACTAAATGTCTATTAATATATTTATAAAAACGTGAATATAGATTATATTATAGTATGTGGACTTTTTTTTTTACATGTTTTAACGATACTGTACTCGGCTGTTCTCGCTAAGTTAATCATGTTAGCTCTCACTTAGGTAATCATGATAGCTCTCACTGAGCTAAGCATGTTAGCTCTCACTTAGGTAACCATGTTAGCTCTCACTTAGGAAATGGTGATAGCTCTCACTGAGCTAAGCATGTTAGCTCTCACTTAGGTAACCATGTTAGCTCTCACTTAGGTAATCATGATAGCTCTCACTGAGGTAATCATGTTAGCTCTCACTTAGGTAATCATGTTAGCTCTCACTTAGGTAATCATGTTAGCTATCACTTAGGTAATCATGATAGCTCTCACTTAGGTAATCATGTTAGCACTCACTAAATTAATCATGATAGCTCTCACTAATTTAATCATGATAGTTCTCACTTAAGTAATCATGATAGCTCTCACTTAAGTAATCATGATAGCCTTCACTAAGGTAATCATGATAGCTCTCACTAATTTAATCATGTTAGCTCTCACTTAGGTAATCATGATAGCTCTCACTTAGTTAATCATGTTAGCACTCACTAATTTAATCATGATAGCTCTCACTAATTTAATCATGATAGCTCTCACTAATTTAATCATGATAGTTCTCACTAAGTTAATCATGATAGCTCTCACTTAGGTAATCATGTCAGGTCTCACACAAGTAATCATGTTAGTTATCAATATGGTTGTCTCACCAAGGGGATCATGTTACGGTATTTTTCACTAAGTTAGTCATACTAGCGATGCCACATATTGCCTACAAAAGTGTTCCACAAATGATGGCACGCGGGCTGGCGCTGGTCCGCAAGCCCAAACTTTGCCAGTCCGCACTTAATTAGTCAAGCAACGGGAGGAAAAGTTAAATGTTTGAGCATTGTCTTCAAAACAAAATTTTAAAAAATCGAGATTGTTACAAGCATAAAAATATCCCCCATTTTACACACCAAGATTAGCACGAGAAGCTGAAGCAATGCGTCATATTACAAATTAAAGGGTGAAACCTCTCATTTCAAAGACACAGAAAACAATGACCGAACTGGTTTAAGAAACATTCGTTGGCGTTAGAAAATCCAGCTTAACTGGCAAACCCCTCCGGTAATGTTACAGAGGGGAAAAGTTGGATGCCAGATAAGAAGCATAACAATTGGACAAGGGGTCATCTAGTTACCCCCCACCCCCACCCCAAGGGGACTCAATTCACATCACCGTAGGGCAGCGGTTCTCAACCTGTGGGTCGCGACCCCTTTGGGGGTCGCACGACCCTTTCACAGGGGTCGCCTAAGACCATCTATAAACACACATACTCCACAGTTGTAAAGTATTAACGAAAATAATATTGTGTTTGGGGGTCGCCACAACATGAGGAAATGTATTAAAGGGTCGCGGCATTAGAAGGGCTGAGAACCGCTGCCGTAGGGGGAAAGCATCAGTCAGCTATATTCTTTGGCTCCTTTGAATGCCCATAAAAATTCACATGAGTAAGAAAAACGTCATATCATTAAATGACATTTGGTGATCACGTCATGCATACAGGGAGGGTGTGCGTACAGAGAGCTTGTGGATACAGAGAGTTAGTGGATTCAGCGAGGTAGTGGATACAGAGAGATAGAGGATTGTGGGGGGGGGGGGATGAGCGGAGACAAGGGAGGATATTTTTCTGTGGCAAGTAACAAGAAATGTAAGGATGGATTGTTCCTTTTTTTTGTAGTTTGAAAATTTAGGGACGTCGGAGACTTCATCTTTACATTCATGGCTTCCATCCTACATCCTATGTTTTCCAGTTTATTTCTGCATCCATATCCGTCATTGTGTTGGGAGGTACACCTTCCATAACAATTTCTATATTTTCAATTTATGTTCAGATTTTATTCAAATACAGCACTAAAATTGTACAGTTGTATGACGGTACAGGCGTATGACTCAATAATTTTCAAATCACTGGTTGAGGATATCCCATCTCCATTAATTAAGGCTGGGAAATTTTAGGAAAAAAATATATCCAATATTGGTTTAAAATCTCACCGATTCTAAGATATCTATGAGTATGACTAATTGTGCAATGCTTTGTTTTATCGACAGTGGGCTAGATCCGGGTACTCCCAGAGAACCCCCCCCCCCAAGGACATACAACCAAGCAAAGAACTCAAAAACATAAGGCTGGGAAATTTTAGGAAAAAAATATATCCAAAATTGGTTTAAAAACTCACCGATTTTAAGATATCTATGAGTATGACTAATTTTGCAATGCTTTTTTTTATCGACCGGGGGCAAGAACCGGCTACCCCCAGAGAACCCCCCCCCCCCAAGGACATACAACCAAGCAAAGAACTCAAAAACATACTAATCGCCATCCCATATGCAGATGTCAACTTAACTCGGTATAAACAAAAAAAATATTCGATACCAATGCTTAAGGGTCTTGCTGGTCAATAGCCAAGATCGCATACGTTCATATCCAGCCATCGCATAAGTTTATATCCAGCCATCGCATAAGTTTTTCATATTCAGGTATCGCATAAGTTCATACCCAGCCATCACAAAAGTTCATATTCAGCCATCGCATACGTTCATATCCAGCCATCGCATAAGTTCATATCCAGCCATCGCATAAGTTCATATCCAGCCATCGCATACGTTTATATCCAGCCATCGCATAAGTTCATATCTAGACATCGCATAAGTTCCTTCCCAGCCATCGCATAAGTTCATATCCAGCCATCACAAAAGATCATATCCAGCCATCACAAAAGTTCATATCCAGCTATCGCATAAATTCATATCAAGCCATCACAAAAGTTCATATCCAGCGTATGGCATAAGTTCATATTCAGCCATCGCATAGTTTCATATCCAACCATCTCTTTCCTCCCTATCCATCCATCACATTCGTCGCTTTCCGTTCACCACATTCTTCCCTATCTAACCATCCCCTCACCCCACCCCTTAACCCCCGCCCATCACCCCAGTCCTTCACCCCAGCCCATCTCCCCCACCCCACCCGTTACCCCACCTCCTCGCCCCAGCCCATCATACATCAAACATGAGCCAGGACTTTTGCCGATGTGGCAACATCAGCCTGGCCGTCTACCTTCTGGTCATCCTGTTCGGTGTCTCGTCATGGGTGGACATCAACGGACTCTGGGTCGAGCTACCTGTCCTCGTCCAAAACCTACCCGAGGGATGGGACCTACCATCTTACATGGCCATCACCATACAGGTATGTTGAAAACAGGTGACCTACCGTCTTACATGGCCATGACTATTTAGGTATGTTTAAAACATGAGACCTACCGTCTTAAATGGCCATCGCTATTCAGATATTTTGAAAACATGGCACAAATTGTTTATAAAACATTTGATCGAATCAAAATGTATTACTAATCTCTGAAAAGTCATCTGTTCTTTCATATAATATGTTTAGCTTATCTCTGCATTTAATTTTGTCTAAACCATCCGATGGGATCATAGAAATATAGGAAATCAAATACTTATTCTTCTTTTTTTAAATTTTATTTGCCATTTCAATAAATTTTGCCTTTAGTAGGCTCAGGATCAAAAGAAAATTCTGGCTTTTTCCCTTAAGCGAATCTACGACTCGGATATCTTAAAATATATACTGAGCAAATCTCAAGTAGGTGGTCCGGAGTTCGATTCCAGCCAGAGTCCATACAACCAAAAGACATCACCAGCACCCCGGGTAGATCGGACTCGTTAACCTTGGATGGCAACTCGTCTAAGAGAAGGAAACTCTGAAATCAAACCCGGAGATGGAGTCCCCAAAGGCGGATAACATGGTACAATGAAACATTCCGACAACCCCTGCGACGCCACTGGTGCCAAGCTGTATCATCCAATGATGTTCCCTTGGGTTATCCAGCGGCGTGGAGAGAGGCAATTTGCTGTTGGGAACCAGCTTTTAATCCTTGAAGAATAATCCCAGACCTTGTGGATTTCGTCCTCCGAAGCCCACACCATCGTCACATTGTGACGGACGGATGCCAGCAAAAAATTTTTTTTTTAAAATACATATATAAATTTATATTTGTGAGTGCTTATATTATTTACAGTTTTTGAACTACCAGTAACTAAAAGTCTTCATGAACAGATGAAGAGCCGTCACTTGACTACTGTAAAGCCTCCAGTTTTCTGTCTCCATTGTTTAGCTGCGCCATGCTGGCATCCGTCCGTCACAATGTGACGATGGAGTGGGCCTCGTAGGACGAAATCCACATAGCCTGGGATTATTATACTTTAAGGATTATAAGCTGGTTCCCAACAGCACATCGCCTCTCTCCAAGCCGCTGGGTAACCCAAGGGACCATCATTGGATGATACAGCTTGGCACCAGTGACGTCGCAGGAGTTGCCGGAATGTTTCATTGTATCAATGTTATCCGCCTTTCGGGACTCCATCTCCGGGTTTGATTTCAGAGTTTCCTTCTCTTAGATGAGTTGCCGTCCAAGGTTAACGAGTCCCATCTACCCGGGGTGCTGGTGGTGTTTTTGCTCTAGCTGGAATTGAACTCCAGATCACCAACTTGATTTGCTCAGTTTAGACCACTCGGCCACCCAGCACCCTTGCGCCATGCATTTTAAAATAATTCATTTTTAAGTTTTTCCACAATCACAATCGTTTGCACAGTTCCCGGGCGACGCCTCTGAAGAGATGATATCTCGCCTTGATGGAACTATGATCACGAAAGCAAAGCGTCATCCTATTTAAAAAAAAAAAAAGAAATGTTTCATTTATTATAAGTAGGAACGACATATTAAAGTTAAGCGCATAGTTAGACGCAATTGATATTATAAACGTGATACCCATTTGATTTCTACAGATAGCCAACGTGGCACCGTTCGCGTATACTATCGCCAGCAGCATCTGGCCACACAAGATGATGGAGGTCCCCGTGATCTACGTCATCATCTCACTGGGCGCACTCTCCTGCCTCCTTCTGGCGTTTCTCTGGAGAATGACGTCGGAGATCGCCGGCACCGAGCACAGCACGGCGCTGCTGGCCCTGCAGTTCTGCCTCGCTCTCGTCGACTGCACGTCCTCCGTGGCGTTCCTCCCGTTCATGTCGGTCTTCAAGCCCCAGTACATGACGGCGTACTTCATCGGGGAAGGCTTCAGCGGGCTCATCCCTAGCATCGTGGCCTTGATCCAGGGTGCCGGCGACATGGAGTGCGTCAGGGTGCCGATGTCCCAAAATGAAACCAGTTTTCTCAACTCCACTCTAACACTTCAAGTGGACTCGTCGAATTCGACATTACCTCATAACATCTCCACCACCCAGCCGTCGGATTTCGTAAGTTTCCCGAGATATCAGGAGCCGAAGTTCGGGGTGCAGACGTTCTTCTTGCTGCTGATGACACTGCTGATCGGCAGCCTCGTCTCTTTTATCCTCCTCAACTACTGGTCCTACTGCCGGAGGGAGTACTCCAGCACGCCCCCGCCCAACAGCTCCGACGATAACGTCATGGAGAAATACGAAATGCTGGTGAAGCAAGGCAGCGATGACTCCGCGACGTCATCCGAAAAAGACACGAAAGACATCGAACTCTGTTGCAGATTCAACACAAGCTCTGACGCAGTTCATAAAGGTCAGATTCGGGTCGTAGAAACCAAGTCACGTGATCTCGACGTCGACGCCACCTTTAAGAGTCTGCACGCGCTAAGAAAAACCAAAGGGATGCAACCCTCCAAATTTGTTTACTACCTGCTCATCACAGCCTGGCTTAACGCCCTTTCCAACGGCGTGCTGCCTTCGCTGCAGAGCTACTCATGTCTGCCCTACGGCATCCAAGCCTACCACCTGAGTGCCAACATGGCGAGCATCGCCAACCCTGTCGCCTGTCTGGCATTGGTGTTTCTCAAAATGACGTCGGTGAAGATGACGACGCTGATGACGGCACTCAGCACGGGGGTGGCAGCGTACGTCATTTACACTGCGGTGGCCAGTCCGGAGCCCCCGCTGGTGGGGCAGTTTGCTGGGTCATTTGTATTGGTGAGTGTGAAATAATTCGTACCCTTGTCAGCAGAAGATTGCAGATGTCTCAATTAGAAAAAATAATCAATAAACAGAAATAACATCATCAGACGCCTTGTCTAACACACAGAACTAACATCATCAGATTCCATGTCTAGCACATAGAACTAACATCATCAGACGCCATGTCTAACACACATAACTAACATCATCAGATGCCATATTTAACACACAGAACTAACATTATCGGATGCCATGTCTAACACACAGAACTAACATCATCAGATGCCATGTCTAACACACAGAACTAACATCATCAGATGCCATGTCTAACACACAGAACTAACATCATCAGATGCCATGTCTAACACACAGAACTAACATCATCAGATGCCATGTTTAACACACAGAACTAACATCATCAGATGCCATGTCTAACACACAGAACTAACATCATCAGATGCCATGTCTAACACACAGAACTAACATCATCAGATGCCATGTCTAACACACAGAACTAACATCATCAGATGCCATGTCTAACACACAGAACTAACATCATCAGATGCCATGTCTAACACACAGAACTAACATCATCAGATGCCATGTCTAACACACAGAACTAACATCATCAGATGCCATGTTTAACACACAGAACTAACATCATCAGATGCCATGTCTAACACACAGAACTAACATCATCAGATGCCATGTCTAACACACAGAACTAACATCATCAGATGCCATGTCTAACACACAGAACTAACATCATCAGATGCCATGTCTAACACACAGAAATAACATCATCAGACTCCTTGTCTAACAAACATAACTCATAGCAGGCTCTCGCCCCTTTATTTTGTAAAACCAGCCTCACAACCATTTTAACAATCTTGATCAATAAATAAGTGGCTTACACTTAGTTTCGAAGCCTCAGCAAATAACTCAACCGGTATAAATAAATCCAATTATCCAATGTCTTACTATCATTTTAACTGGTCGAAACCATGTAATGTTTTTTTTTTTCTTCTCATTCAAACTCTCCCCTTTAAGCCGCTATCCAGAAAAGATATACAAAATTATAATCTGATTTTTTTTTTTCATACACAGATCATCTGCTGGTCACTGGTGGTCTTTCTCATGACGTACACCAAGGTTTCGATTGCCACGGAATTTCGTATGGTGGGCAAAAAGGCGCTGCTGTGGATCGGTGCCGCCACACAGGCCGGCTCCCTGGCTGGAGCCCTGGTCACTTTTCTCTTGGTCAACGTGTATCATTTATTCACCGTGGGCAACCCATGTAAATAAATGATGTCAGCTGCAAAGAACCAAAATGTTGTTTTTGTTTTTTAAAGTAATTCCAGAATCTTTGAGAAATTAACAGTATCAGTTTCCATTGTCCATTTTAAAATAGATAAGGACCAATTTGGATAGGGACCGATACAAAAAATCGGGCCAAAATGAATAGGGACCGAAAATGAAGTGTTTAAATAGTTGATTTGATTTGATTTGCCATGCTTTATATGAATTTGGTTTAATCAAAACTTTGAGACAATGGAATGGGATCTTGTCCTCCAGCATCGCATGGAATGGCATCCTGTCCTCGGGAAACGCATGGAATATGATCCTGTCCTAGGGCATCACATGAAATTTGATCCTTCCTCAGGAATCGCGTGGAATTTGATCCTGTTTTCGAACATCGCATGGAATGGGATCTTGTCCTCGGGCATCGCATGGAATTCGATCCTGTCCTAGGCCATCACATTGAATTTGATCCTTCCTCAGGCATAGCATGGATTTTGATCCTGTTTTCGAGCATCGCAAGGAATGAGATCCTGTCCTCGGGCATAGCATGGAAATTGAGCCTGTCCTCGGGTATCGCATGGAATGGGATCTTTTCCTCGGGCATCGCATGGAATGGGATCTTTTCCTCGGGCATCGCATGGAATGGGATCTTGTCCTCGGGCATCACATGGAATTTGATCCTTCCTCAGGCATCGCATGGAATTTGATCCTGTTTTCGAGCATCGCATGGAATGGGATCATGTCTTCGGGCATCGCATGGAATTTGATCCTGTCCTCGGGCATCGCATGGAATTTGATCCTGTCATCGGGCATCAATTTCATCCTGTCCTCGGGTATCACATGGAATGGGATCTTTTCCTCGGGCATCGCATGGAATGGGATCCTGTCTTTTGGGCATCACGTGGATAGGGATCATTTCCTCGGGGATCACGTGGAATGGGATCCTGTCTTCGCACGTCACATGGAATTTGATCTTGTCCTCGTGCGTCACATTTTCTTTTATTAAACTTTTTTGTGCTTTTCTGAAAAAAAAATATTTGGCTGTGCTTTAGTCAGGGTCACGCATCATCCAGTGCAGTGATGTAAATTTAGGGATGTGAATTTCGGGATGTGGATCAGACTTAACTGAAATGGGCAGGGTTTCAAAACGAAAAAGTTACGTCAGTCTTAGGTCATTTGTGTTTTAGCAAAGGCGAAGAGGGTGCCAAGATGTTGTATCAAGCATTCCATTATGAGATTTAACTCTAAAATATAATATTTCTTAACATTATAAATTTGTGATGACCTTCTTGAGCCCTTTCCTCAGATGGATTGATCATCACTGAAATTCAGGGTAAAGCACATATATTGAAAAGCTTAAAGTCTCGTGGCTTTTTCGGATAAAATTATCTGGAAAATTAATATTTGTTTAAAATTAATGCCCTGAATCCATTGTTATGTAATAATCTTTTACAAGTGTTGCTGGAGCTTCAAGAAATGTTGGTTCTTTTAAAGGAAATAATGTATTTTGACATGATGACATGATCTCTATATCTTTACATGATCTGTGTATTGTTCATTCATGAACGACTGTAGAAGTATGTTCAGCGCGTGTACTTCAAGTCTGAACGTCTGCGAATATGTGTTTTTATTGCCTGTTGTCATTAATATATCGGCCATCGCAATTTTTTTTTTTTAATTTATAAGAACAATAAACACTGAGTTGTAAAATTATTCGTCATTTTGAGTGTTTATTTCGGTATGCGTGTAACATTTTACCGAAAATTTTCCTGCCGTCTTAGATGGCATGTTTGTTGACAAGGTTTCAACACCCACATTGTAGATCAATGAAAAGATTGGGCTCTTCCTTTAAGCTTGGGAAGTGAAGACTGTGGAATAGATCATTAATTTAATTTAAAATAATTGCTCAAGAGAAGAAAGTGAAATTCTCGCTCCCACTCCCAATCTTATGTGAAATTTAAAAAGAAAATTATCTTCTTAATTTATTGTAAGTTCGTTTAGATTAATATTTTGGCTCTACTACTGTCATTTTCTTTCCTTCTCTATTTTCTTCTTGCATAATATGATAGCTCGTTTTCCGTAGCGACCACTGCTTATGCTTGCCGCAAAAATATTTGTCTAACCTTTTAATTGATTAGTACCTTCAGCGTGCTGGGGTGGCCAAGATCTCAAGTTCATCAGCACCTCTAGTGGATGGGACTCGTTAGCCTGGGACGGCCACTCAACTAAGAGAAAGAAACTCTAAACTCAAAACCCAGAGATGGAGTCCCGTAGGTGGATAACATTGACCCAATGAAACATTTCGGCAACTCTTGCGGTGCCACTGGTGGCAAGCTGTGTCATCCAATGATGTTCCCTTGGGTTGTAATCCAACGGCGTGGAGGGAGGCGCTTTGCTGTGTAGGGGACTAGCTTATAATCCTAAAAAGAATAATCCAATTCCCTTTTGAATTTCGACCTGCGAAGTCTACACCATCGTCACATTGTGACGGACGGATGCCAGCAATAACAAAATACATTTTTAGCTAAATAATGATCATCCTTTTTTTTTTTTTTTTTTTTAAACGTTAAGATCTACATAATAACCGTACAGGACGTAAGACGTTATTGCAAGGGGTGTTTTTTTGCTTTGTAATTGGTATAATTTTTTAAGTTTTTTTTTTTTATTTTAGCTAAATAATAATCATCCTTTTTTTTTTTTTTTTTGAAACGTTAAGATCTACATAATAACCGTACAGGACGTAAGACGTTATTGCAAGTGCTGTTATTTTGCTTTGTAATTGGTATAATTTCTGAAGTTTTTTCTTTTCTCTCGTATGGCATGAGTTTCATCAGATTTACTAAATATATGTAACAAAGAATGCAGGAGAGCTGTCGTGAGCAGAGTTTAACGAGCCCACCACTTTATAGAGCTGGCCCCGAGGCCGTGGAGGCGTTCACTTTGTTTTTAACTGTTGACCTCAGGTCCTGTTCAGTGAGCCATAATAGCTACTGCTGTGTAGCAAGGGTAGCATTAGATGAATTCACAATGTGCATACTCAAAATCAAGCCTGTCAAAACTACAGCAAGGTCATTTAAGTAACTTACCAAAATTATTCACCTTCTCCAACGCGGAAGCATTCACGCTTAGGTATAATATTTCAGCTAACATGTTATGTGTTTTGTACCAGAACAGCAGGCCTTGGAGCTGTTTTTAAAGAATAATTTTTTCTATTTTTTGTCTGTATTTGTTGTTGCCTTGATAAATAGGTTAGCTTTTGTGATTTTGTGTTCGCTAATCTTTAAACAAAAATCGTAGAGTATGTCCTCTTTTGTTTCTCTGCTCATCCAAGGTTTGTTAGTACTGAATACTTGGACAGTTTTTTTGTTGTTTTTTTTTAGCGGGAATAATTTCATTTCTACAGAAGATAATACATGGGTTTACGGTGTTTGTGAGTTCGTCATTGTCTGTTTAAAGTTTATAAATGTATCCCAATATGTACTCTTCAAGCGGCACTGGAAATTTTCTGTCGACTCACCCGACCACAGTTCTATAGTTTGTGTTTGAGTTTGTTTTGATTGTTTAACTTGGTGTTAGGCGAACAAAGTGGTGTGATCGGATTATCCATGACACACACGACACGCCAGCTAAATCGTTTATGATACACACGACACACCCAGCTAAATCTATCATGATACACACGACACGCCGGCTAAATCTATTATGATACGCACGACACGCCAAGCTAAATCTATCATGATGCACACGACACGCCAGCTAAATCTATCATGATGCACACGACACGCCAGCTAAATCTGTTATGCTACACACGACACGCCAGCTAAATCTATCATGATGCACACGACACGCCAGCTAAATCTGTTATGATACACACGACATGCCAGCTAAATCTATCATGATACACACCCCTTGTCAAATTTAAAGCCCCCGCCCCTCCCAAACCACATTCCAACAGGAGAAAATCAGTTTCCAGGTTCGTTAACTGCTTACCTGTGTAGACGTCGCTTCTCATTAAATTTGATTATATATAATTTCAAAACGTTATAATATATCCAAACGATAGCTTATAGAGTAGAGTTATTGTTATTCATGTCTACCCACTCGTGGGTTGAGATTTAAAGCACCACACACATGTATTTTGGGCACATAAGTAGATAAAATTCTTTATGTCCCATAGAATCCCTGCTTTAGACCTGGTTTACTGTTATATATGCTAGGTAGTTGATTGGGCTGAGTCCATCCCAAGCTTGTGGACTGGAATTCTATCCCAAAGACCAAGTCAAACATCAACATCGCCAGCACCTCGTATGGATGGGACCCGTCAACTCATCTGAGAGAAGAAAATTCTGAATAAAAACCCGGAGAAGGAGTCCCGTAGGCGCATACATTAATACAATGAGAAATTCCGACAACGCCTGCGACGCTACTGGTGCCAAGCTGTTTTATCCATATACGGAGTTCCTTTGGGCTTATCCAGGTACGTGGAGAGAGGCGAGTTTTTGAAGAAAAAAATCCTTTTTGATTTCGTCCCACAAAGTATACACCATCGTCACATTGTGACAGACGGATACCAGGTTAAAAATGGTCCTTGTTTTACCGCCATTAAATTTGCTGGTCAACTTTTAAGAGCCTAAATTGGGGCCTGCACTACATACTCCCCGCGTGCCACTTGCGCCCATTTTGCTGCCCGCGAAGTAACGAAATATTCTTTATTGTTATATTATTTTTTTTAAAATAGCTTTCCCCCTCTCCCATTTTCTTTCGCCCCGCATAAAGTTTTTCATGAAGTATTACGGCCTGCCTTAAATTTTGAGTTGTGCATCCTTGGTCTAAATTTATTAAAGGGCTCTGTTCCAGATTTCTGAAAACGTATAAACTATTTTTTTTAAAAATAGTCTAATAATTAAATGGCCCATTGTACCACATTTTACTCACAAAGTCAAATGATCCACGAGACATAGTTTTGGGGATCATTCAACCAGGTGTTGCCTTCAATGGTTGGGGTGGGGGGGGGCGCGGGGAAGATACATAAATAGATTACATTTATACACAAATAAAAACTAATTCAATTATAGAGCGTACCATGTTGTCTGATTCCATCAACTACTTGTCCTATAATGAAACTGTCCTTGGCTACAGACACGTGATCTAAATTCACTAACACTGTCCAATGCTACAGGCAGGTCATCAAATAAAGTCACCAACACTGTCCCTCACTACAGCCAGGTCATCTAATAAACTCACTAATACTGCTCTCTGGGAGATAAAAGCGTTCATAAGGCAAATGGACCGTACATACATTATATAACGCGAAGTGGATAGGGTGTGGTTCATCGTATTTTTATATTGTGTCACATGGTTTGGTGGTGTTCTTAAAAGAAAACTATTTCACGAAATTTGTATACAGTCTGAAACATTTGACTAATGACAATAGACAATCAACATTTATTTATGAAATGCAACATATTATTACACAAAATATGTGACTTCAAAATACAATACACAATAATTGTGTAGGCAAGATAGGATAATCGGATGGAGAATATCGATAGCCTTTGAACGACATTAAACAGGTGAATACATTATAAGTTTCAAAAACGTACATTCTAAAACATTAAATTAAAGACATCCCACATTTACTTAGTGATAAGACCACATTATGTGGTGATAATGACCACATTTATGTAGTAAAAATACCACATTTATGTAGCGATAAGACCAAATTTATGTAGTAATAAGACCACATTTATGAAGCAATAAGAGCACATTATGAAGGGTTAAGAGCATATTTATGTAGAGATAAGATCATCATGATGTAGCTATTACATCACATTTATGTAGTGATAGGAATACATGTAGTGATAATACCATAGTTACTTAGTGATAAGAACACATTTATGCAGTGATAAGACCAAGCTTATGTAGTGATAAGACCTCATTTTTGCAGTGATAAGATCACATTTAAGTAGTGATAAGACCACATTTATGTAGTGATAGACCAAGTTTATGTAGTGATAAGACCAAGTTTATGTAGTGATAAGACCACATATATGGAATAATAAGACCACATTTATGTAGTGATAAGACCACATTTATTTAGTGATAAGATCACATTTATGTAGTGATAAGACCACATTTATGTTGTGATAAGACCATATTTAAGTAGTGATAAGACCAAGTTTATGTTTTGATAAGACCACATTTATGCAGTGATAAGACCACATGTATGTAGTGATAAGACCACATTTATGTAGTGATAAGACCACATTTTATGTAGTGATTAAGGCTTCCATTCGTCGGTACAAACATCGTTGACCCTTTAAAGTCAACGAGATATTTCACCCCTTTCAACATCAGATATGAAATGTCCCCCTTTAATGTTTACGCCACTGGTAGCCATCAGCTCGACTTCTCCGTGTTCACATTTTAACATCCGTCCGAGATGAATTCTGTATCCCTTAACTCAAACGTTTCTGAAGCTTGACCAACAGCTGAACAGTGCGTGTAGTAAAGAAAGATCATCTATAAAAATTATATTCGGGACTTCTAGTTAGTTGTCAATTTCCTAGCCATGTGTAAATGAATAGTGACTAGTGGCTGTTTTTTCTTACCTTCTCGCAGAGGGAGATTACAAAGTATTCTCCCACCTCCCTTTTTCCCCTAGGGAGACAGACGTAGTGACGTGAGTTGTTAAGCTTCAGGCAATAATAATAATAATAATAAAGTTCATTTCAAAAACACGCTTCATCCCCAAAGGCTCGAAGCGCGGTACAAAGTCAAAAAAAAACAAATCTATAATTCACCACATTTAAAACAAACGCAACACTACAAAAACTAATGACAATCATACAATGGCAAAGTCTTTCGGGCCATGTCAACCGTAAGCAACACAGCCATTATGCAGTAACTGGAAAATAAGGTAGACAATCATTCCAGAAGGTGTTTGCGAAATAGATGTGTCTTTAAATTGGTTTTAAAGGACTCCAGTGTCTGGTTGTTTCTGAGATCGACTGGAAGGGCGTTCCAAATTGTTGGACCAGCAAATGCGAAAATGCGCTTTCCGTAAGTCTCAAGGCAAACACGTGGTGTCGAGAGTTTGCCACTATTGGATGAGCGGAGCTCTCTAGTGGGTACATAAGGCGTAAGAAGCTCTTTCACGTAGGACGGCGCCAGGTCATGTAAGCAGCGGTAGCACAAAGTTGCGATTTTGTACTCTATGCGAGCACGGACCGGAAGCCAGTGCAACTCTCTCAGAAGTGTTTTTGCAAGGTCGAACTTGCGTTTGCGGAGAACAATGCGAGCCGCATTATTCTGTGCTATTTGAATTTTATCCAGGAGCGTAGCTGGAAGACCCACTATGAGAGCATTGCAATAGTCCATGCGTGATAGCACAAATGCAGACATCAGCCTCTTTGTTGCATCAATTGTTAGGAAGGGCCTGATATGACTAATCCTGCGCAGCTCCAGAAAAATCAAGTCTACCAACATATTTCTGGCGGCTGGATAACAACAGGGATCCTACCTGCCGGCGTTGCAGCCTTGTCTCGGAGATACTGCACACCTGTTGACGAATGTCCTTCACTAGATGCCCCGGGCGAAGCCAGGTCGGTTGGAGAGCCCTTTGTGGGGAAAATGTTGTATGGCTCAGCTCAGCAGACGGAGCTGGTAGCCCATTTACTAGCCGGCGTCTTATGAGAGTTATCTCAGACCTTCACCAGAATATGTGTATTAGTTAGTTAGTTAGTTGTCAATGGAATTAAAATTATGCCAACTTTTTAAAAAAAAAATTATCTTTGACATGAAATCTTTCTATGAAAATATTTTAAAGATGTTATAAACCAATTCAATTTGAAAAAGAATTGATTGATTGATTGATTGATTGATTGATTGATTGATTGATTGATTGATTGATTGATTGATTGATTGATTGATTGATTGATTGATTGATTGATTGATTGATTGATTTTTTTTTTAAAGTATTTGTTTTAGTTAAACGCGTAGAAAGGTCGCAAACTCGCAGAGTAATTTCTATGAAGCTCAACGAATTGATAATCATTTTCACAGTAATACACGAATCTCTTCGCTTACCAACGATGGTCAGAAAGTCAATGGTATTTACAGTCATTCGTTTAAAATTAGTGCCACGTTTTACCCCATCTGTTATATAAAGAGGATTCTACAAACAGCAAGCAGTTAATAAATAAGTCAATATACATGAAAAAGGAGAAGTTTTTTAGATTGTGGTTTGTTTATGGGTGGAAAAATAGTTGAAATTCTATAGAAATATGGGGGAAATTGGATAGAAATACGGTGAAAATTTGATAGAAAAAAGTGGAAATCGTGTAGAAATACGGTGGAAATTGTGTAAAAATACGGTGGAAATTGTGTAGAAATAAGGTGGAAATTGTGTAGAAATAAGGTGGAAATTGTGTAGAAATAAGGTGGAAATTGTGTAGAAATAAGGTGGAAATTGTGTAGAAATAAGGTGGAAATTGTGTAGAAATAAGGTGGAAATTGTGTAGAAATAAGGTGGAAATTGTGTAGAAATAAGGTGGAAATTGTGTAGAAATAAGGTGGAAATTGTGTAGAAATAAGGTGGAAATTGTGTAGAAATAAGGTGGAAATTGTGTAGAAATAAGGTGGAAATGCTGTAGAAATAAGGTGGAAATTGTGTAGAAATAAGGTGGAAATGGTGTAGAAATAAGGTGGAAATTGTGTAGAAATAAGGTGGAAATTGTGTAGAAATAAGGTGGAAATTGTGTAGAAATAAGGTGGAAATCGTGTAGAAATACGGTGGAAATTGTGTAGAAATAAGGTGGAAATGGTGAATGAAAAAATCAGCATATATTTCTGTACATCCATTAATAGCAATAAAATAGTTGATTTTTATTTCTTAGGTTTGCAAGGAACATTTTGTTTTAAAATAATTAACTATCAGTCAAGCACATTCACAGACATACACTCTTTGCAATCTTTAAAAAAATCAACCGTAGAATAAATACGATGCTAATGAACCAGCGGTTCTTGAACTGAGTAACACGTACCACTAATTGCGTATTTCTTTGCACAAGGTGGTATATTGAGACTATTAACATATAAATAAGTATGTATGTGTATATATATATATATATTTATTAATATATTCATATCAAAATACAAAAACGGATAAAGGTTGGTTTTCAGAAAGTGCTACCGGTGAAAACAGACAATTAACGTCTCCTAAAATCATCCGCCTCCTTCTTCTTTCATCAATTCTTTTCCTTCTAAAGAAATGAAAAACATTTCCTATCCCGGAGTCTAAAATTCTTCAAGTAATTTTCAAATGACCCCCCTCCCCCCCCCCCCCACACACACACCCGGTGCAGCGTTGTAAACCCCAGGGTGGGGAAACACTGGCTTAATCGATACAAAAGTGTAATGGTTTGAGCCCCACTGGTATTGTAATTAAATAATCCATAGTTTGTAAATCAGTGTCGTTTTAAAGATTGTATCACGTCTAATTGTTTGTTGGATGATAAAATTGGCAGTTTTTATTGTAAAATATTTCAAACACAAAGATGTCAGAGTTATATTTCAAACACAGCACAAACTATTTACATACACAGTTCATCAACCTTTCGACGACATTGGAGATTTCAACACGTGCATCGTGAGAGAAATGCATCCATGTGACTGAGTCATGTGAACATAAGTCAATAGTATAATATATATATCATCCCCCCACCCCAATATATATATATATATATATATATATATATATATATATATATATATATATATATATATATATATAAATAAATAAAAAAAAAAAAAATATATATA